ATAAATCCGTAGGTTTCAGTCCAATTGTCTAATAAACGAAGCGAGAAAAATAACTCTCATTCCACCGCGGCCGTTACCACTTTATCCGAACTGCCAACAATATAAGTGCTACTCCTTAAGATTTTCTCTAGAATTCCAATCGGTTACAGAGACAAGAAAAACTGAAAGTTGTCATTTTATGTAAAATGCTTGCATAAATTTTCGCTTTGTGTCATGTCATCATCAACATCATTGCCGCGGTGCTAAAAATACTGTTCATATTTCAGTGTTTACGAGAGTAAACTGACAAATTCATGTCTGTGAATCGCCATACTTGTTGCGTAAATTAAATTTACTTAGACCTATTTGATAACACTGGTGGAAGAATATCTCCATTGTGTCAAGGGCAAAGTTCTTTGCAGAATCGACCTTGGCACTAGATGAAGCTAAGTGGTCATATTCGTGTTTAGGCTGTCTCTGTGTCGATTGAATCGCCTCATAGCCTTGTCGGCCATCTAACCCTTGCGTCCCAGTCAGTCAGTCAGTCAGTCAGTCAGTCGCTTATGCTCATTATAAACGCGCATAAGAACGCCATCTGCAGAGAACAGTGAACCCATGAACACGAAGACCTCAGAATATTAAGGGATTTTCACATTAAACATCGAGATGCCATGTTCATATCTAATTTACGCAGTGTTGCGTCTTTTTTGTTATGAAGGGAGGCTAATGAAGTAAATGTCGGGGCCGGTTTTAATGGGTTGTAATTACGAAACCGCCAATTAGCACGATTGGCTGCTTCAGATGCGTGGTGTCACAGCACAGCTCAGAGTGTCACGTGGTGAGAAATCCAGCAACTCCCCCTTGAAGCACGAAAAAGAACTACGGATGACATTTGGGCCTCTTGTTTGTTGTTAAAGGCATAATAAATATTTCAAATTGGGATGAGGTCATTTGCGTCTGAAGCGGAAATTAACATGGCAGATCTGATGAGTTAATACGATGAGCTATCGACATGGGATTTAAGACAATGTGAGATTGTAAGCTGATAAAAATACAAAATTTAATTTAACAACTTTTTTTGTGGGCGTAAAGTTTTTGTAATGTAAATTACGTGTTCTGCATTTGAGAACAGGATGCTTTAGACCTAAGAGGAAGTGACAGGAGGTGGATCCTTATAATTTGTACTCTTCCCTAATTACCATTAAAGTGATGAGATGGTAGAGGACATGTTTGGGAAGACGTGTGTCTTACGTGAGATCAACAAGAAATTCTGAACGCACCTTTTGAGCCATTGTTAGTTGGCACTTGACGTAAGTTATTCTGCCTAACTTGCCGTTATGCGGTGTGTGAACAGCGAATTTAATGACGTGGAAGAAACGTTTTGAATAGTTTGAAAGGTACAAAACCAGGAACAGATATGACGGAAGATTTGGATAGTCACGTTAGAATTAGGACACTGTTACTCATAACCTGTTAGTTCTTGTTAGCGTTTAACTGACGGTGGGTCTTCAGTGGCTACTGTAAATGGTCTGATGGCGCTGCTAAAGAGAGAACCGAAGTCTGGAAGCGTTGATTCATCACAGTAGCATCGTCCAACAAAAATCCGTGATGTCACTTAAGTTGCATAACATGGAGTTCCCGTCAATTGAAATATTGTTTTAGACTTCCTGATTCCGTGTCTGGAGACGTTTTTTCCCGCCGGCTTACTGAAACTTAGACGTACGATTGGTCTCCAGAATGAATTCTACTTAATCGTAAAACTATAAAATATAATTACTGAGGAATTGTATGAAAGTGGAAATGTAATTTCACTCTTTTAGTAGACGATACAGTCGACCTCAGTGCCCGCTGTGTTGAGCACTTCGAGGAATTTTTTTGAAGCCACAAAAACAATGCATTTGTTCACGGCGTGGTTACGTAATGCGTTCACACACCTGAATATTAAATTAAATTAAACTATTAAAGTGTCTGCCAACAGCGATGAGCCAGTGACAGGCAAACACCGATAATGTTGCTAATTATGACGAAAAGGGCGCTTCTCAGTTCGTTGTACTAATTTGGTTACTGAAATTTGATTTTCTTAGTCTTGACGTTTTTATATTCTAAATGAATTTGCTGCGTTCCTTTGTATGACTGGATAGAGTTTATGTAGACAACGCATCAGTGATTTCTTTAAAGTGTATAAAGCGTTTTCTCGTACACGCGACGCTTGTGAAACGTCGCTGGCCTTATGGAATATTGACAATCGCACACATTATATGACACGTGCGTTGACAAGGATGTCACTTTAGACGGACGACCTTGTAAAATGTTAGTCTTCACCATAACTACCGCTATAAACAGTGGAGTAGGCAGGATAAAATAGTTGTACGTCATTCTTTATGCCAGTGTTCACAGATCGCCATGTTTTAAATCCTATATTTCACTGACGTCACTACCTTCCAGCCGGTCACCTCGTAAACAATTTAGTTAATGAGCGACGACATTTGAGACTGTCAGAGAGCGAAGACGTGTATTTTAATTAAGCCTACCGCTAGCCTTGTGGTAAGAATAGGATTGGACAAAAAGTCAGAAAGCTGTGTGTTTTCCCCGTGGTGCAGGCTGGCTGCAGAAGTAAACACGCAATTAATGGAATTTATAAGCCGTAACGCGAGCGTGTGTCGTCGAACTTGTATGGTTCAGAAAACATTTCGCTACTAATGGACGATGCGAAGCCAACACGACACGTGTTGTGATGAGTGTGGCCTGTAACAAGTGCGCGCTCCGAGGGAGATGAACTGTGATCGGAAACACGTGTTGTCTGTGCGAACGTCATTGGCCTTGATGTTCGTTTATTGCGAAGACTTTTGTTACAAGGCCATCACACCCAGACAACGTATCACATTGCAGCGAGGAAGAATGGGCTTTCCATGTTGAAACGTTCCAAAAAAATAAAGGTTGTGCTGTACAGCATCTGTTTTTGTGTTTGTTTGTTTGTTTGTTAGGTGAACATTTCGGGAACATCTGTAAATTGAATTTGAGCTTCGCGTGAAGTATTTATTAATTAGAATTAAAAACATTCTAAAACAAAACGAGGAGCCTCACACAACGTACTTGATCGAAAACCGTTTATTATTTTAAATACGAAACAAGATTTTTTACGCGCGTTTTGCAACATCTCTGCGAAGTCCGTTTCGTCCGTCCGTACGCAAGTAACAATTCAAGAGTTGCTGAATTAATTTCTACGAAACTTGGTATGGACGTCATGCCATTGGATGTTACTCCGAACACGTATTTTTCTGTGGTACAGTCAGTGACACCCACGTAATGGATCCTTGATCTTGTGTGGTGGAAGGATCTCCGTTATGACACATTTACCTTCGATGACGTCACCGCCCGTCTGTAGGTGTCGTTCAGTTCAAGAATGGCCGAACGGATATTTACGAAATTTGATGTGGACGTTATGCCATTGGAGGCTGTTCTGTACACGTACTCATTTTAATTTCCGATAACCGGTCATACCAACGTGACTGATGCTCAAATTTGTGTGTCGGGAGGATGGTCATCCGTAATGACGTCATTGCTCATGATTTTCCTTCCTTAAGATCAGCTATAAGCTATTCTTTGCACTTTTCTTATGGGCCTGTCTGTTCCTGATCAAGGTCACTGACTTCTTTCGCGAATCCCTGCCCAAAATTTGGCTTCGTGTTGGTGAATTAAGGGCCCACGCGTTTTGCAGTCTTTGCTTGGCTCCAGACGATGTGATGGTTGAGGAGGGGAGGTCCATGCA